GTAGTACGTTAATTTTGGTCTGTGAAATCTTATACTGGACGTCAATTATTGGAGAGTACCTGTTGCATCATCTTGGGTCATGTCGTTCCCAAAGCCACATTCTACTCAAAACGCATTTCTTTTAAAGCGACAGCAGCCTGCAGATTAATTAAAAGCTCACATCGACAGAGTCAACACAGATCTCATCTGCAGCCATGAGTTCTAAACGTAGTCAAAATAGTTTACGTACGCTTTCCCGGATGATCCGAAGATGGGGGCGTATGATATGGTGCCGGCATTGGCAAATTCAATTGGTTGATTCAGTTTCAACTCCTAATGTTTAAGCTACAGCAATGCAGTTATGTTGGACTATCTCTTTAATGCTTGGAAATGTTGCAAATTCGAAGGCTTTTGTAAAACTTTTTGAATGCTCACGGAGTGCAATCTGTGAGCATTCATTTTTCAATGGATAGTTCAGCAATAATGACAATCCAGTTGATGTCTGATCATTCAATCGTGCGAAAATGATTCAAAACCAGAGGATGCGAGAAGACTGGCCACCTAGATTCGCACCGCATGTTAGTGTCAGATGATTTTATTGAGGAAAAGAATGTTGATGTGTACCTTGATTCTCGAGATGAGTAAATTCGGAAAACTTATTGGCTTTCACACCAGAAGACCAGTCAAGACTGCTATAAAAATTAAATGTTTTTTTGAGTATATTGAAATATATCGTGGACGGATCCTGAGACCAACTCTACCTGATTGGCTTAGACGAGTAAGTAGGAATGCTTAATTATTACTTAGATAATTTTATTAAAAGATTAATTCCCTTGAACATTAAACCTTCTCTTTTTGTACGCACGTAATCCAGTCTTTTCAATTAGTACGATTAACTGCGTACAAGTAGACAATCGGCTACCATTTTTTGGCGCAATTGTACCGTAGTCGTACCTTATTTTTGTAATATCAGTACTGTCAGTATATACACCATATTTGTATCAATCACTTGAAAGAAGAGATTACAAAGAAATTGCGGTTGCTGCCGTAGCTTAGCGCTTGAGGAAGCGTACTTTAAGTCACCGACCTTTCGTCTTTACAAGAAACAACAAGGTATGAGTGAGCGGATCGCAATAATTACTCCAAGAGTAATTATTGCCCTCCTAATGCTAATTGATTCTTCGGTTTAAAATCCAAAACTGATTTATATATTTATTTAGAGAGAATAAAAAAATGCCCCAACTTTTGCCTC